TGCAGCAAATGGGGAAGAGCACAGGGGACATTTAAAGAAAGACACAGGTGAAACACATTAGGGCTTAGCAGACAATATAAAACAAAACCACAGGAGAACTGGTGTCAGAATAAAACCAAACACAAAATAACAAAAATTCAATACATGTATAGTTTCACGTACATGTATTTTTTGGCCTCTGTCATATTTTTGGATGCGATTTCTTGGACAGAAACGTGAAAAAGAGAGGACCACCCTTTCCCGGCCAATCAGCTCTCAGCCCACTCCGTCAAATAGTGACTCACAGGGTTCTTTCTGTCATGTATGTAATAGATTAAATGTTTTGTAATCACATACATGCAGCATAGTCTGATTTGCTTACAAAATGTCACCTTTACAAGATTCTTCATGTTGGGACTGACAACATGTGTTAGTGATACAGAGAAGATATACAGCGACTGCTTTTATACAAGTGTCTCCATGGCCTCGCACCAAAATACATCTGTGACATGTTAGTGCCATATGAGCCAACTCAGACTCAGAGGAGCACGGGGACTGGCCTTCTGTTGGGACTCTGAGCAGCGCAGGGACTGGCCTCCTGTTGGGACTGAGGGAGGAGCACAGGAGCAGTCGCTGAGGAGCACAGGGACTGGCCTCTTGTTGGGACTCTGAGGAGCACAGGGACTGGCCTATTGGGACTCTGAGGAGCACAGGGACTGGCCTCTTGGGACTCTGAGGAGCACAGGGACTGGCCACCTATTGGGACTCTGAGGAGCACAGGGACTGGCCACCTATTGGGACTCTGAGGAGCACAGGGACTGGCCTCTTGGGACTCTGAGGAGCACAGGGACTGGCCACCTATTGGGGCACAGAGAAGCACAGGGACTGGCCTCTTGTTGGGACTCTGAGGAGCACAGGGACCGGCCTCCTGTTAGTGCCCTGAGTCAGAACTAAACATGGGGAGACAGTAGGGGTGGGCGATATGGCCTAAAATTCATATTGCGGTATAATTTGGGACACAGACGGTAGACGGTATATATTGCGGTATAATTTGGTGTGAATTTCAATATAGGTCTAGCAGGTTCTTGCATAAAATAGTCAAGATTGTTACTTATTTATATATTAGAATCTAATATATATATTTTTTTAGTTATTCAGTGAGACGAATAAAGAGACAAATGTTGTAACATACATTATTTATGTATGTTACAGTAAATACCGTTCACTGTAAAAGCAATTTTTAAATAGAAAAACATGTGCATTCATTTAGAATATAAAAAACTCACAAATGTTGAAATCAAAGTCTGTAGGAGTTAGACATGGTCATTATTTATAGTGTCTGAGAGTTTTGTGCAGGTACATGACTTCAGTAAAAGCTATTGTTCGTTTACAAAGCTGGTCTTGCCATTTGTTGACGCTCCCTAAGCGCTTTTCTCTGCGCTTGCAGTGAACTGGATGATTCAATGGATTTATGTTCATTAAAACAGCGCATTGGATTTGAACAATTGATGTAAATGATCATTTTGGCACAATAAATTTTGTTTAACAAAGTAGCTTTCGTGAGATATTGACCGCGGAGGTCCGAATCTGACGCTAACATTCGCAAACTTCTGCTGTGATGCTGTGGACACGGCACACGCATGGATCTATTTTGGCTCACACTGGCGCTTCGAGCCTACGCCCCTTTGACACTGATTGGCCAAAAGGTAGACGCTTAAACTGTGATTACTGTGTGTGTATTTACCTCTGCTGGGGCCGCTGTGACAACAATACATAGACAGAAACACGGTGTTAATGCCGTGCTGTTGTTTGTTGTTTCCAGTGGTGTCTGCTAGGCTAATAGTGCTAGGCTAATGCTGCTGAATGCCGGTTTGTTTTGGTCCTTTCTGCTGGCGTCAGAGCCTGCGCAATTTGATGACATAATGACCTATCGCAATATGCCGGTATAACAAAAATCTCTACCGTGGGCCAAATTTATATCGCATACCGCTTATACCGTTTATATCGCCCAGCCCTAGGAGACAGCGTTTCAGATTCATGCTGCTACATTCTGGAACAGTCTTCCTGAAAATAAATATATATAATGTACATACTGGAAGGCCACACAGTAAGGAGCATTATTTCAAATAATTTAAAGGATAGTATTTAGGTAAAAACGTTTTCAGTTAAAAAAACGATTATGTTTAATACGTGTCCTCTAAAGAAGTGTCATCACCTAAGAGCACAACACCAAGGTTATTGCAAAAGTTATGGAAACTACACAACGCAGCAAAAACACCTCCTAAATTCGATGTTCCCTTTGGAGACAAATGAGTAATGTCCAGTGATTTCATGTTAATGCACTGCAGGATTTGGATTGGAACGACCTTCGAGGCAGCCGTACCTGAAGGTTTAATTATCTTTTCAAAGGGAATCCTCCAGAGAGCCCACAGCCTCCACGCTGTACTTCGTGTGAGGAGAATCAGAGGGGACACTAGTTCATTTCTATTGACCGTTAGTGCCTATAGACTCTGCAACACCTGATGAATTAGCTGATCTTTTGACCAATTCTCACTCAGAGGGATGTCCCAAAATCTATATTGGATAATTGAGAAACACCACTAAGAATACAAGGATTAAACAGTTTCTCCAGCCCGGGGGAAAAAAATCTGTTATCCAGTTATTTTGTTGAACTTTGTTGGAAGTTTTTTGACTTTTGGGAATTGTTGTATATTACATAGAATTGCTTTAACTCATGTTGTAACCTCCTGTTTCGTTCACTGTGAGGCCTGACCATAGACTGTAAATATTAATGGACATAGTGACGCCTATCTCCACCGTTGAAACGTATATGTCATCACTTTTCCCTGTTTCCGTCGTCTCTAAAATGGCCGCGAGTGCCCCGTCCTGAAGAAAAATGTGAAAAAACACATTTGCGCATGCGTTGCCCGGCACGTGCCCCCTTCATTTAACAAGTGTTTTCAAAAATCCACAGCGGCTAAACTAGGCTGGCCCCCAAAAAGAAGTCGTAATAAACATACATTGAATAATTCTGTTTCCGGGTACACCACCACCAACAAGAAGTCAGATTGCAAACATGTAATCATGGACCCTTTTGAGCCGGGACCTGCCCCCTCTTGGCCTGCCTCACTTTCTGTTTGAGTAGACTAGACTCTGTAAAGTTTTCTGAATCTGAATCAACTCTACATGTTAAATCAGGACCCCCTTTTTCTCATGGGCCATAGTTTGGAGATGCCAGTGTTAGAAAGTCACACCCAACTCGTTTCTACTTTATTCCAGGCTACACTGTAAATTAAGACTAGAGAAGACACGTAGAAGGCCTTGAACTTGCCACTTAACACCACTTAGCGAAACACAATACGATACAGAAAGCTCCTGGCTTCGGTCCAGGTACTTCAAATAGAACCACGGATCTCAGACACTTCTAAAAATGCAGATTTCATGAACAGGAACGAAGCCATCCACTTGTGCGCTCAGAAGTAAGATTAAAGGCGAAATCTGGGAGAAGTTAACAATATTTAATGGCTTTTGGCTCGCTCTGATTTTTCGCTTGCATCTGGAGCCAAGAGGTGAATCCGTGCAAGTCTATTACTGCACGCGGAACGAGCACTCTGGCTTTTTTACGACGGCCGTGGGTTGCAAGGTGTGGAGATATGGAGAGATGATTGAAATTGAATTGGAAATGGCCATAAAGAGCCAAGTGTGGTGGTTTATAATCGCGGTGATCAACACAGAAGCGCTTGAAATCAATGATTAATCTTAATGTATCTGTGTCTCGCTCATAACGTTTATATGTAGATTTGGTTCTGGGTTGTTTGTTTTGCAAAGTAAAGCGTGACTGGTCTGTGAGAGATGCTACTTACTTACTTAAAGATGATGTGCAACTGGACCAATATAAAGGGTTTAAAGGGATTGAACAAGAGCTTAGATAATCAAAAAACTACATTGTCCATTCGAAACTATCACGCATCAACAATACGTAATGCATAGATATGATATGGGGAAAAAAACAAGACAAAAAAAACACATATAGGCCCAAAACACTCTCTGATCCTACACCTATCCCCCACCACTCGCTTGGTGGACATCACTTTCCTTTCTTGTAAACTTTCCAAATTTGAGGGTGTTGATTTATAGTTACAGGCAGATTGGATCTACCATATTAGCCAATGTTTTAACCAGTGGGGGAGGGTCCCGGCTGACATGCTTGCAATACCTCCCTGGGCCGATGGGGATGGACCCGAAATAAGACTTAGCCAATGCTAACATATAGCATTTTCTTACCTCTCGAAAATGTCTTTACAGGATGGTCCAAAAGTTGTCTCTTGGCCCAAAGCTCTGTTCCACATGTGTGTCAATGCCGAGGGGAGTTCATTTTTTTGGACCACTCTAGTTTAGTCGCTGCGAATTTTTGAAGGCACTCGTTTAAATGAATGGGGCATGCGCAAATGTTTTTTCAAATTTTCCAGCCCTTGCGGCCATTTTGAAACTGCCCATAGCCCGCGGAAGTTGTGGCACATTAGTTAGAACGGCGGAGATAGGCGTAACTACGTCCGTTAATATATACAGTCTATGGTTTTGACCAAAGCCAAGTTTCCAAAATATAAAACCTAAAATAAACTGCACATTTTAAACATACATTCAGGCAAACGATTTCTTTGTCAACCCGGCGACCGACTGGGCACCGAGTTGTATATTCTACGACTGAGACCAGGCCTAGATGTTGCCAGGCCTGCAGAGAATATTCATAATTTGGTACGCACGTAAACATTGTGTCAGCTCTTTTACTATAATTCTCTCCCTCTCTGTCTGGGTGCTTTCTCTTATTGTGCTCAGATTGGCAGGTCTTTAGAGTTTGTGCAGCGTTTCAGCTTCCCACGATGCTTCTTCCTGCTTGTGTCTTTTCCATCCCCCTCGGCTCCCACTGGCAGTAATTACAAAGAGGCTGAGCTCCGTTTGTCCACCGCGACCTCAAAGACCTGACAGCCAAGGAGACAAGGAGAGGCGAGCGGAGCGGGGAGATGCTGCCGCTGCATACGAACATGTTCAAAAGTGGACAGAAAAGAGTCATATCGCAGACAGAAGTGAGGCATCAGTGTTTCTGCAAGGGCGACCGCCTCAACCTTCAACTTTAATCTCTTTTCTTCTATTCGCTCTTCTATTCGTGCGCAATACAGTAATGCTTTGCAGGCTTGGGTGGGGGTCTCATGCCATCAATCTAATGCACACAATCAAAGAGCCATAGACCTCTGGAGATTCAACAAATTCAACAAAACCAATTCTAAATATTTTTTTTGTAGCTTTTTTGGTGATTTTGAGAAGGCAAATGGGGAAACAGCTCTCATGTTTCTTGTGTCCGGTTTACTTTAATGGTGCTGTTCTTCCAACACTCAGCAGATGGCGATCATTATTATTGTTTTAGTGCATTGATGATACCGAGGTGGGTGAGTTATAATGTTCCTTTTCTCAGCCTTCTCATCGAGAGTTTGGCAATTTTACATGAATTTTGACTGAAATAAGATTACTTCTACCACTTCATACTGCTTGAATGATTGCAATTCAAATCAAAATTCAAATAATAAATATGCTTTGAGCTCAGTTTTAAGTGAGAACTAAAGAGCCAGTTGGAACAGGGCCTGTTCCGACCTGCATAGACAGAATGCTCTGGTAGTCCTGACCAAGACAAACGTCAATATCAATGTACCCAGGGTGGTGTACAATGGTGATCACTGCTCCAGACAGAGGCTCTGGTGGCATTCATGTTGGGTCAAATGCAGTATAACAGAAAACAGTACTGTTTTAATGCAGAAATCCCTTACTCTCCTCATCAGTGCCTGGGGATATGCTTTTATTGCCATATTTTATTAAAGCAGAGGTGCCTAACTTTCAAAACGCAGAAAATTGTACTTTGTAACATAATTCATTTCTGGATTGTCCATTTTCTAATAAGATGAAGACAGCCTGTTGGACTTCTTCATTATGCTAACGTTGAATATTTTACACTTGCCTGCTTTTTATGCTAAAGGCAGCAATTTTGTTAATTTGTTGTGTGCTCCTCATTTTTACTGTTTTGTAAATGGTTATGCAACAATGAATTTTCCTCACTGTGGGATGAATAAAAGATCTCTTAATCCCAATCTTAATCTGATTGATTCACAACATTGTACTTTTACTTTGCGCTTTTTACTGGCACAAACAACATGTATTATTTAGAAACGTAGGTAAATCAGCTGTTAATGCTGATATTAAACTACAGTCGAGCCTGGAAAAAATCACACACTAACAGTTCAGGCACTCTTTTTATTTGGTTGCCGTCCAAAGAGAGTTGTCCTCACGGAGACAGACACACCTTCATCATATGCATATAGGAATGGAAGAACCAACAGAACCAGTCAAAGTAACCTTCCTGTTGCTTCCTCTTGGCGAAATAGATTAACGTACAAAACTCCCTTTGTCCAGACTGGCTGGAGCCAAAGATGAACTACATTACTAACTACCCAAAATGTATTTCAACCACAAATACTCTTTCCAATGACACCAGCTTTAATGTTGAGCTCTAAATATCACCTGTAATTACTTATATACTGCACTGTTTGATATGGCAAAATGGGTGGCCCTCATTGGAGCTGTAACAGGATTAACTTCTCCAAAACTTGCCAGTGTGCAGAATGTTCCAACACCTGTCAAGACGCTGGAGGGGCTTTGTCATCCCAGAATGCATCTTGTCTTGTATTGAGGTAAAATGATACGATTATCACAGAGAAACGCATTGTCGCTCTTTCCAATCACGCTGTTTCTTTGTCTGCACTCTCCAAGGCGACAGCAGAGAGACGGAACAGACAATTAACAAGATGAAATATGCCCCGTGCTGCGTTTTTTTGTGTTTCGTTTTTGAGAAGAAGCTGCGTTTTGATTGTTGATAAAAGATGTTTTTTTGGGTTCAGGGTGCGTCGAATTCAGGTCTGACATGGTGCCTGCTGCTCAATGTGCGGAGAATGACTTTATAATGCTGTTTGAAGCGTCGGTGAAAGACACAAACTGCTTTTATAAGTCTGTTAGAGCAGAGAAGAGGTTACAAGACAGTGCACATCTCTGCAATCCAAAAAAAACTGTATATCAAAGCCACAGTGTGACTCTTTTCTCTCTGGGAATCCAACCTTTGCTTGGACTGTGGTTTGGTGCATAAGTATTTAGGCAAAACAAGATTATGCTTAAGATACATTTCAGTATTGAATCACAAATTACTCAGCAGAAATGAGGAGCACACTGCACAAGACGAATGAATGATAACCGAATAATATACAAAATCAAATCTACCTTAATTATAAAAAGAACCAGTATAAATTCTCTATCTTTAGCATAATAAGGAAATAAGTGTAATTTCTCCAACTTTAGCTTAATGAAGAAGCAAGTATTTTAAGAACAAAAATCCCTGACTTTATCATAATAAGAAGCAAATATAAAATGCTGTATAGTCCAGTGCAAATACCATATAGTTGTGTGTATACATCTGTACATGTTAGCATCATGAGGGTACGGGACAAAAGTTACTCAGTACAATTACATATTGCACATTCTGTTACATAATACACAAAGCAACTCAAAGTGATCCATTAATTGCAAGATAAAAAACAATAACATATTATACATTTTGAAATCATAAATAACTACATGCAGTACATTCAAAAATAGTTCCATCAGTTTTATGCACACAGCAACTCAAATATGCACAATTTTGCTTATTTTTTCTATAATAGTGTTTACTTTGGCTGCAAAAGTTAAAGTAATATACGACATACTCATAAAGTGACATATATCAAGCCTTTATGTTTTTCTTTATATTATTACAAGTTTAACAAATAAAACAATAAATCAACAATATGCACAATTACAAACAGCAGCAAGAAAAACAGAAAATCACAGGAGGTTACACACCCTTTTGTTAAAATTATTGATGATTGGCTCAGAACATTATACAAATGTGAAAACGGACTGTAAGCCATGATCATCAAAACGATAACAAAGACATCGGCATATGTCACTTTGCTTCACATTTTTAGTTGAATAAGAAATAAATTCACTTACAATAGCCTAATTCTCCAAGTTTCCCTTGTTCATATTTCATCCCTGCATATTGTTCTTTTCTGCATGGTTGAATTAAATATGGTCCTCGCTGGTTCAGGATTCATACGACAGACCAATGTTGAACAATTAATATTTCTACGGTTTTGGGCATGTGAAAAATTTTCAATTGGAGAAAGTAAATTGATAAACCCCTGTTTTCTTCAGCTGTTTTATTGTAAGGGTAAAGAGGAAAACATGGAGGTTTGACGTTTGTCTTTTTAATGTGATTTCTCATGCAGAAGTTGTTGCATTCCCTCTCATCTCTCTCCACTCTCCTCTACTCTAACGCCGGGTCTGCCTCAGTGGACCAAGAGAAGGAATCAAATAAACATGATGGTTTTTGAAACATAATTAAACCTTGGAAAATATTTTAACTTTATCTTAATTTCTTAAAATCACAAGTGAAGTGCAAGAAAGAAACGCATTATTGATAGTTACAATTCATATAGTACAGTGTCTGGTATAGTAATAATTTATTACACGGCTCCTCACAGCAGCAGTAGAACGCTCCATTGATTTGAATGTAATTTCAAAACATTCTACCGGTCATTATTTTTTATAACGGACCTCTCAAAACAATAATGACCGCTGCCCATGGCAACGCACCCTCTGCTTGTAATTCAGGTGTGTAGATTGCTCCGCAAGTAGTTCCGGCCACTCTGGAGCTAGCCACGCTCAATAAACGCAAATACCAATCAATCTACTTAATTAAATGTTAATCGGAGAATACATTATATACATTCACACGAAGGTTTTCAGAATTATCTGTTAACGTTTTCACAACAAAAATACTGTTTTAATGCCGAGAAAAAGCAATCGCGAAAAACCCGGATGTAGATTCTGGGACATTTTAGGAACATTTGCAGAGGATCAGATTATGGATTTAGGTTAGGTTTATGTTTGTGTCACTCACCGCTGATGTTTAGAATTCTTTGTTCAGTTTTCATGCAGTTCGAGAGAGTTCTAGTTTGGAAGTTGCTAGCCTGAAGCCTGGTTCACACGAGACGATTTTAAAATTGTCGGCCGATTTTTCTCCCCGTGTGGGGTCTTCTGTTAGACCCCACACGGGGAGATTAAAAATCCTGCGTCTAACCACTTTGGTCGTGCAGTGTGTGGTGCGTAGCCACACGGCAAGATCACGCAAGCCACAAACATCACACACGAACCGACACCCCCCCCCGAGCATTCCCAGGTCAGACGGAAATCTCACAAAATCTCTCGAGATCAAGCGTGACTTCAGAGTAAACAGTCATGGCGGACGAAGAGGATGCAGTGGCGATAGTGTGCAGTTTGTTGTTAACAGAGAAGACACGTAATCCAAAGAAAAGGCAATGGTCAAAGCCATGCTGCTGTGTTTTGGTTTTTTTCCGGTGTTTCCTCACCGGCTTGTCACCTCGTCTTCTTATTGGCTACACGCCGTAGTCATGGCAACGCGCTCACTTGTCCTCGGAGGACACCACACACGACAAGAAATCGGGCCAAAACAATCCAACATGTTGGATATCCCCGATTTGAGATCGGGAGCAGTCCCGATGTCCTTCCGAGCGACGAGTGCAGTCTTAACACACCACACACGGCAGGATAATCTGTAAGATTTTGTTACGGAAATCGGAGCGTTTCTTAAGATTGTCGTAAGGGGTAAATCGGGTCTAAATCGGCCTAAATATCCTGCCGTGTGAACCAGGCTTAACTGTTACTCGCATAGCCATAGCCATGGGAAAGCCTTTGGGAACTATTTTATTTTTACCTGCGTAATATACAGTACATTATCCCTTAAATATTTTGAATCTCATTAGACAATATCATGCAAGTACAATGGCATACAATTGAAATAAAAGATTTACAGATATAGTGTGGGAAAGACACACATACACTCACGGACTCAGGGCAGGAATCAAATAGACACAATGCAGGATTTTAAAACATGAGAGACATACTGTATCCATGGAGACCCTACATCACAAAATACTCTATATGCACTTAGCCTAATTGAAGATTAAAGTATGGCCATCTGTTTGAAGCTGCATTTTAATCGGAGCAGAAAGCATGTAATCTGGATGATTTGGGATTATTCCACGTTTTCATTTTTGGTTTGGTTTTTGGAGTGTCCTCATTTGTAGCTCATTGTGAAAAAAAAAAAAAGTAAGAAAAGAAAAGGACAAGACACATCTGATTTCTTTCCTCCTTTATGTGGGGAGCCAACACATCCTCGTAGAACGCTGTGGAATAGTCACATTTGTCCACCTTCAAAAAAGTGTGACAATGCTGCCATTTGGGCTCTGAAAAAGCAATATTCTTACATATTTGTTGTAATGCTTTTCTCAAACCGGGAGCAGGTGTGACTCATATCTCAAGGGAAAATTCATTTGGACAACTTGTATCTGTGAGGCCGTCCTTTACGTCACTAAAGCCCGATCCCGCCAGACCTCTGAAGCTGGTCTAACAGGGCAGGATCTGGTTAGTGCTGTGATGGGAGACCTCTGGGAACACCATGTGCCACAATGGGGCGGCTCTGGCTGTAAAGTGCCAAACTGTCGTTGTGTCCTTTAGGCAAGACACTTCACTCACATTGCCTAGAATGAGTCTGGAGTGTATGAATGAATGGTTGTGATCGGAGAGGCCCCTTGAATTTAAAAGATGCCTCGCTTCTGTCAGTGTGCCTCAGGGCAGATGTGGCTCATAAAATACTTTGTTTTTCCCGTCTGCAGCAGCATCCAGCTTCAGCTTCTGCCGTGCGTCACTGGAGCACACAGTGTCGGCGGAAGAGTTGAACTACCAACTTCCACGCCGCAACGGAGGCAGCAACCTGACCTGGCATGATGGCCGCGGCCAGAAGGGGGCGCACACACGCACCGTCAAACTGCTGCAGCAGCCGGGGACAGAAGGAATCCAGGTAAATAATCCAAAGATTTCCATTGATGCATGGATCCACCACAATATAATAATAACTGGATAGGGTGTTGCTAGCTTACAGCTGACCTACCAACGGGCACAGGGGGCACCCGTGGTACTGCAGACTGAATGGGCTACCCAGAAAAATGTGTCATAGAACTAATTTTAAATTAAAACAACTGGACCTCAGCGGACAGAGAACCTACTGCTTTCATAAAGGTCGGATTTTGTGGAGAGATTAGTCTAGTCTAGTTATAAATTCATACTTTAATGCAACAAACTCTGCTCGTTTGGCTCCTGCTCTAGCTCCGCTCTGATCACAAGCGGCACGGTGGCTGAGTGGATAGCACTCTCGCCTCTCAGCAAGAAGGTTCTGGGTTCGAATCCCGGTCGGAACAGGGCCTTTCTGAATGGAGTTTGCATGTTCTCCCCGTGTCCTCCGGGTGCTCCGGTTTCCCCTACCACTAAAAACCTGCACAATAGCTATGAATGTAAAATGAGAGAGTGAAGTGAATGGATGGTGTTGATTGGGAGCTGATCGTCCAGTGTGTCCGGCGACTCGCTTCCATCATCCCCGTGTGTGGAATGATTGGAAGAATATCTGAACTCTGAACATTGTAAAGCGCTTTGGATGACTTTGGTCCGTAAAATGCGCTATATAAATAAACATGACTTACTACTACTTACTTACTTTCTACAAGCCCCTGATTGGTCAGGATGCTGCCGTGCTCCTCTGTGCACGTGCATGAGAGCCACACACTCGTCAACTACGCAGAACTGAGAGGACTAGACGATGCGCAAATATGAGTGAGTTCCGCTAATCTTTCTGTGCCTTTGGAAATGCTAACTGATTCAAATAAATAGTGTGTTGCTATGGTAACTCGCACTTATTGCTCCGAGCTGATATTGCTCTGAACCAGTCCAGGGCCAGTGTAGGATCAGATAAATTCTTAAACATGAATCTATTGTTACAAACTACATATAGAAACAGAAAAAGTCAGTGAAGACCAAAAATGTACATCATTAAAGTAATTACACTTCCAAAATAAATAAAAAAACGTCAAATCGATTGCTCTGGGAGTTTGAGTGTTAAGGCAAAAGCGCTGAGAGGACATGAAGTGGAAGTGCTACATTGCCATATTTGGAGTCTATCTGCAAAAATAGTATGTTCTGGACCCCCATCCCCTCTGTGTTGCACATGAAAGAGACCAGGGAGCTGCGGGCCGGTCATTTGTTCACTTTTCTGCTGGTATTAGGAAACATTGTTACCGTAAGGCTGTAAGATGCTCATGTGCAGCGCCGGATTGCTCAATAATTCATAAAGAGAGGCCCCCTCAGCATTAGCAGCTATAAAAGGCTTAATAAAGACGGGTATGGCACTGTCTCCATGTGATTACACTGGGACTACATAATTAAAGCTCTCCGTAGCATGAGGAGTGAGCGTTATCATTCCCCGTGGCAACCAGATTTAATGCATTATTGAACAAATGGAAGAAGTCCAGTTTTTGTTATTTGCACAGTTTTTGTATGCACCATCATTCACAAAACAGCCTCGCGTCTAGAGGGATTTCTATAGGTGTTCAATTTGTCACAAAATAGCAAGTGTGAAATAAGTATTCGCTTTTTGAGGACGGCTTCCAGCTAGGACCAAAGCAGAAAGTAAGCACTGTAAAAATGACAAAATATGAGTTGATCTGAGTGTTTTTTCAATCTTAATTTGACTACATTTTGACTGTCTTAAAATAAGATTTATCAATGGGAAAAGCCATTTAGTTTTTTGTGAAGAGCTGTTGCTTTTTTCTCATTCCAAAGGTGACAGTAGATCATTGGCCTTTCAGCCGTAAGGTCATGGGTTCAAGCCCACCAGACCTATTTCACGACTCCCACTGTTGTCTGCCGTCATATCCTTGGCCAAGACACTAAACCCAACTTTGCCTGAAGCCCTCGCTGAAAGATCTGAAAGCCCTGTGGACTCACCACCTGCAGGAGGATCAGTGAAGGGCTGGTACTACTGGGTGCAGCCCTGACTGCCACACCCCGACTCAGAAATGGACTAAGTGGAAGAAGATGGATGGACATTTCGTGTAGATAAAAAAAATACATAATTTTGCTGGTATTGGCAAAATGTGGTCATTAAGATACATTTTGCCAAATTGGTGCCTGTTTTGACTTATTTTTCATAACTTTTTATAGTGAAGGAATAGTGAGTAAGTAAGTAAGTAAGTAAGCAAGCACGGGGAGAACAGGTAAAATCAGAAAAAAAACCTGCTCCGACCGTGATTTAGAGCTAGGACCTTCTTGCTGTGAAGCGAGAGTGCTATCCACTATCTGCCATAATAGTTTTTGCAGAGGTTGGGATGAGTTTTGGTCTTCTCAGTATTGAAGACAGTGCTATTCCCTTTGACACAACTATGGTCTAATGGTTGTGAACGGTGCTTGTGGGAGAGTTCTTCCGATGTCTTTGTTTTGCATTTGCACTTTAGCAGTAATGAGAGCGTAGTTAAGTGAAACCTATAGCTGCTGCTACCTGGGGGACTCCAGAGTAATAAAGCTAATATTGTTATTGTTCCGCTCAGCGTCTCGAGTGGGCTGAAGGCAATGTCAATTTAACAGAGAGACTAAACAAGGATACACACATGAGTTTGATATGAATCTGTTAGCAACGCTCGCTAACATGTAGCCAGAACATTCAAGTTTTATTCTTTACTGATCAAGGGATATTTTTCACTGCACTCAGCACTATTCAATTCAATGTATTTTTGTACAGCCCTAAAACACAACAGGAGTCGTTCCGGAGGACTTTAAAATGTTTTTGATTGATCAGAGAATCAAACAGTTCAAACACAGGAAATGCATCATCCGGATGACAAATGTCTAAACTGGTTAGTGTGCCTCAGGGCAGCTGTGGCTACAGTAGTTTATCCCTTCCGGATGACATGTGAAGCATCTTAGTGTTATAATAACTGATGCATTATCAATATTAATAATTGTAGGGTATTGCTTCTTGTGTGTGTATTGTATTGCCTGAGTGTATTGTCTGTGTCTGAATGACTGGGAGGGGATTGGATTAATATGAGCTTTTTGCTTCCAATCCTTTTTCAAACCATGTGCGGGCACTCTTTCTTTTCCATGAAGAATTATTTGTATCTTGTGCATTTTTGAAGAAAATACTAAAAATAGAAATACAAATTGACTTGATCTGGAAGTTCTCTCTAAGCACAGAGCACTACCTGTATTTGACATTCCGCACTGTAATACTCTGACAAAAAGCTAATTTATCTGCCTCAAACAGCTTTCAGACAATGTATTTTGTAGAATTGTGTGTTTGATAAAGCGGAAGAAAATGGATGGATGGATGTGTGTTTTTTGTTTGAGTTTTTTTAGCTCCATCCACTCAAGGAAATTCTGGTAAAAAAATCTTGGCACACAAATCAGGGCACCTTTCTATATTTTAAAACAAAAGTATGGTCTTGATAATACAGTATACAATTTTCATCACCATTCAAAACATGTCCAAATCAAAGAGCAACATGACACATGACTAGGATATATAATTAAATTCAATTTATTTAAAAACCCTAAATCACAATAGCAGTCGTCCCGGGGAAAAAGGCAAGAAATCTGGAGCTGCAGGATGGGGACTGAGGCCTCTACAGTGCAGGACTGAAGAGGAACATAAAAATACACAATGACTTGATCTGGGAGTCCAAGTGTTAAAAGCTGAGAGTCCATTCCACATGTTGTGTCCTCTTTAAACACAGAGCACTACCTGTATTTGACATTCCGCGCTGTAATACTGTGACAGAAAGCCCATTTGTAGCTCATTTCTCTGCCTCGAACAGCTTTCAGACGAGGACGGGGGAATCGCAGGAATAACAGGGGGACAATTTAGTCGAGCGCCGTCTTTCTCTTGGAATCATCTCTGGGCGTCACAGAAGGTGCAGTCCGGACGCTCTCATTTGTCATGCTGGAGGAGAGAGCGGCGAGCAGGAGGCAATTACACCAGTGTCCCCATTAGAGGACACACACACTGACCTTTGAGAAGCACTATGCACCGGAGCCACAGAACACAGGGAAGCAACGTCCAGAGCCAAAACAAGCACTATTTGTCAACGTGAGCTCTGTTAAAAGCCGAGGAGAATTTGTTGGAGGGGAGCGTATTGTGTTTTCATAAGGTAATGCTGCGAAGTTTGGGGAAAGAAAATAGATATTTAATTACATGGGGATGGAGGGCCTCTATACTGCACCGCATGGCCTTGGTCCTCGTTCTACAGCCTGTCCGTCGGTGGGTCTGCCTGAGGTTTCTAACTTTTTCCCACTGGGTTTTTTGAGGGTTTCAATGTTAAAGTAGCAATATGTAAGACTTGCATGTTGAGTCCTCATTAAATGGCCCTAATCTGTAATAAAGGCATAATTTTACAGCCCTAAATCTTGTTTTTGTTTTCCCATCGATGTCCCGCCTTCACCGTTTTACCAATCAGAAAGTGCGTGATCTGGGTTGGCAGAACTTACCACATCGAGCTAATCTCACTGGTAAAGTAACATGTGGCCGCAATACTAAAAAAGGTCTCGTTATGATTCTCAAATCATTAACAACAAAACAAGAACTAAACAAGGATTTCTATCAGGGACTATGTGAAAAAGGTGTAGGTTATAGATATTTTGTTTGTTGGCAAAATTATTGCGGGGCGGCACGGTGGCTGAATGGATAGCACTCTCGCTTCTCAGCAAGAAGGTCCTGGATTCGAATCCCGGTCGGAACAGGGTCTTTCTGAGTGGAGTATGCATGTTCTCCCCGTGCCTTCGTAGGTTTGCTCTGGGTGCTCCAGTTTCCCCTACCACTAAAAGCATATGTAATAGGTTAAATCCTCCAGCTCTGGTAGTCCTGACCAGGCCGAGTATCAACATCTGGATATGGGTTCCCGGGCGCTATTACTACGGCGACCACTGCTCCTGACGATGAATCTGCCCTACGGGGATTAATAAAGTGCACCTTTATCT